TGGTTCCAATGAAAACTTGCCACATAATTGAGGCCAATGTGGACAGAGCGCAAGAGAGCAAGTATTTGTGAATGGATTGATAGTGGATTAAGAAAGGGACACAGTTTAATCTAGTCAATTTTCGGCAGTGACTTTAAAGTAGTGTCAGATGCTGCTCCTGTCCCAGATTCCCCACCAAATTCTGTGGTTTTACAACCACTTTTAAAGTTTTCCTTCTCCTCAGTTTTCTGTGTGAAAGAGGGAAATGAGAAACTGACTCAACTCAAACTGCTGCCAACTTCACCATGAAAACAAACAGGAAAAAACAGAATACTTCTCATCTCCAAACTTTCGGTATAGTTAGTGTAGGTGCTGCTTTTAAGTTAGAAAATGTTTCAAAGAAAATAGATTTCCCTTTAAGAAAAATGCAAGCTTGTTTTCCATACGTAGCTTTGAAAAATGGTGTGTATCACTTGTTGCCATCCCAAGTACAAAAATAAAGAAAATATTTTAAGCCACAAAAGAAACCCAGACCTATCAAGGGTAAAACATGCACTGGTCATTCCTAGAGAATAAAGATTATGAAAGGAAGAGCATGAAATACAGTACACCCCAAACCAATCTGTATGTACAGAATGGTGGTTAAAGCACAGGATTCTGGTTCTTTTCCTAGCTCTGCCACTGACTCCATGTGACTTTGCAACTTTCCAGGGGAAACTGGTTAGGGAGCAACTAGAAGGGGTATGATCTAGATGGACTCACTCTCCCCCAAAATAGAGGAAGTGTCAGCAGAAATGAGTGTGGAAAAATAATCCTGTTTGTAGCACTATTAACTTTGCCTATGAGCTCTACAGGACCAATGGCCAATAGCTGCAGAGCAACCGAGCTGACTATACTTCTCATGCAAGGAGCTGGAAGCCTCACATACAGAAATATAGCTAAACGGGTCCAGGGTGCAAGGTAATTAATGTCTTTCTGTCGGGATCTTCAGCCTCTTGAGGCTTGTTTGGCATCACTTTTCTAGGGGGAACTGCAGCAGAACAGATGCTTAGTGGTAAAGTCTTGTCCAAGTGTCTTTACTCAGAAGGGGAAGATATAACCTAAGACAGCTGGATCTATATGCATCACATCACAAGAGAAGAAAATATCATACACTGTAAAATTACTTGGGTATAGAGTTAATACAAGAAAACATCATGTTCTGCAAACATTTAACAAGTAAAATTGGCATCTGCAGGAACTGCACCCAATGGCAAATGGTAGATATACTGGTCTGACTCTGGTATAGGCAGAGCATATTTGGATCCTAGGAATTCCATGTCCACACAACCCAGACTTGCATATGGTACTTGTAATGGTGTAAATTAATTATCCATAATCTTTCTAGGAAAAACTTTAGAGATGTTATTTAAGGAGAATTAGACCATGTATATATTTTTTCCCATATGTACCTGCATCAAAAAGATCATGCTTGACTATATTGTAAATTATAATAAGGGCTGGTCAAAGTGTTAATGGGGTATTTAGACCCCTTTTTTGATGTATGAATCATGACAAACTGATCCCAGTTTCTGTGAACGTGTTATTTGTAACTATTTGTGAGATGGGATAGACAATTTGACTTGACTAGTCACTGTGTTGATGGAATGTGATTGGTTATCGTCTATATCACCTGGGATTACTTCTGTGCTCTGGTAGGGTGGAACTTTTAACACAGAATGAATAGTAAATACTAGTGCTCACACATGCAACAGTCTCCTGACTCCAGGCGGATAGGGACACTTGTATGAAGAAAAGTTCTTACGCAAAACATTAGCTCAGTCAAAAACTTGTTCTCAAATGGCATAGTAACAAAGGGGTGTGAACGATGCCAAATCAACCTGCGGTTTGGAATCTGGGTGAAAGTTTAAACACTTTTTTGGATTATTCACTTTAGTACAATTCTCTCTCAATTCTAGTGTAGAATGTCTCAAATTCAAAACGGTAAGCTGGGGAAGGTACAATAATCACTTCTCTTAAAAATAAAAATTGCTTTTCTTAGTGTTATGTATGAAGAGCACGATGCCTAAAACTCAAAACCCCATTTTTACGAACTATTTGAGGGCAGAGAGGCTGTATATCTTACTTTAAAAAAAAAAAAAAATCATACAAAAATATTCATGTTCATTTCATGCATCATAGGGTTATTTCCAGAACTTGATGAAGCAACAGTAAAAATGACCAGATAAGGCAAAAAGGAATGTTTGCACACTCCATGCTAGTGGACTCCATTTGAGAAAGACATCCTACTAACGGCTAAGAAAACTGTCTGAAATATGGTAATATTTTGAAAAGGTCACTAGGTAAACTACTGTGCAGTATGTCTGACTGCAGGCATACAGCTGTGCACTCAGGCATAAGATTTTCAGAACTCGCTTTCTAACTACTGCAGTTTTTAGAACAGGCCTATGTGCATTATGTAAACACTGGGCCAAAATTATTTCTTCTGGAATTACTGGCAAATCTAGCCTTGAGGTGTTGTGTCTGGCACTAAGACCGTCTCAAATTAAGCCAAAAAGCTGAGAATAGCATCTGACAAAGATTTCCATTTCAGCCTCCTGACAGTCAGAGCACAGGGATAGTGCGCTCTACTGACCCACAACAGTTCACTTATTTCTCACATACACAATTCCCTGCTTGATACTGAGGAAAAAAAAGTCCTATTAACTATACAATATTATGTAAAGTCCTGTATTCTAACTAAGGGCAATAATTAGGTATTCAAAGTATAGGGATGCAGATAGGAACTGCCTTACCCATCATGCAGTATGACCATGGGAGGCTAAAGTTGGCTGCCTGCCATTTAGAAATTAAGTGACTACTGATGCAGGAATATTCAGATATGATAATCTCTACCCTTTTAGCTTCCAGATAAATCAGTGAGAAGAGTAGACTGTGTCTGGCTATAATGTAAAAGCTGGGGTACAGAGTTGCATGATGGGCCCCACCTGATGTTGAACTGTCTCATGTGCCATCCTTTCACACTTCCCTCTCTGGCAAGTAGCCTTGATAGCAGTAATGTTAGCTTGATCTGTAGTGCAATTAAAAGTTCTGTCCAGACAGAACCAGTACTGAATTTTTCATGCCGATAAAGTGCTTTTTTGGACTAACCCAGAATTCATTCCTCAAGTCAACTGCATTACCTAGAAGTCTCACAAAATTGCACTATAGATCTGTCCCAAGCCATGGATGCCTGCACAATGCTAAAAATAGACCTAGCCAAAACCAAGGCATTCATTCAGCTGATCAAGTTCACTGTGTGTCTTATCACTTGGCTTTAAGGTACAAAGTTTTATGTGTTGGATGCACAAGGCAAGAAGATTTTCTTCTGCACTCAGGCCACACTACTAAATCCCTGTTCTCCATGGATTTCTTCACAACATACCTAGTAGTTGAATTCCAAGTCTTGCATGAGGGTGTTGCTAGGAGGATGGTGTTAGGCTGGTTCCCAGATGACTGAAGCATGTTGTTCATAGTTGTTAATTTTGTTTACATTAGTCCAAATGGTTTTGCTGTCCTTGCTATACACTTCTGAAAAACTACCACTGTATGAACTGGGACACTCACTATGCTGAAGAATATGTATATGTGCCACCCCAAAATTTCCTTTCTTCAAGTAGGAAGGGACACGGATCCTGTGCAGGCTTGGGTAATGGATCACCAGTTTGGTAGACATGTGATGGCCTACTGCAGAACATAAAAACTTGGTTAGATTATTTGATATTAATGTTTTACTTATAAAAATATAGGTAAGGGACAGTTTTTCATCAGTTATCTCAATTGGCAGGCGCTTCAGAAAGGAATGTATCCTTGAAACATCTATTGACAAGTCTGAATTCTGCCAACACCCTGAAAACCCAGGGAATTGGAGGTAAGTGTACAAATTATGCCTGCAGAATCTATTTTGTGGAGAAAGCCTGTGTGTACAGAGCCCACATGTCAATTTCAGTCTACAGAATGAAGATTTTATATGTGCAAATGTTATGAGTACAAGAACTAAAATTGGCTCCATATGTCTCAAGTAAAAAGTGAGAATATACAATATATAAATAGTTCTTATGCACAAGTCAAGTTCCAGAAATTGACTGTCATTTAACACAGTAATCAGTTTCTTTACTTTTTTTTTATACAAAGTGACATTTTTATTTTTAGTACAGAAAATCCAAGTCAGAACTGTACCTGTCTGTTTCAATTGTACCATTAGAGTCCAACTCTGATCTCAACTTAAAAAAAATATAACTGCTGTCCCTCAACATGTAAAGTATTTTTACCAGTAATTCTTCAATACATTTCCTATATTTATTTTTTTTAAAGTACTTTGAACTATAAAACAGTATCTGGAAAACAGAAGTTAAAATTTAGGACCAAATTTTTCTTTGAAGAACTGTACAAGAAGAATCCCTTTTTTAATTAAAAAAACTGCAAATAAAAGCAAAACTACACAATGTTGGGTAAAACTACAAAATACTTCTTGCTACATAATGAAATGTTAGGAACAGTCACCGAGAAACAGTTCTACTTCAAAAGAACAACTGAAGTACAGTATCTACAAACATGACATACAGTTAAAAAGAGACAAAAACAAACTTTGTGTTAGGAACACAGACTCAGAAGTGCAAAAACAAAAAGGGAACTGATACAATGGAGTTTGGTACAATGGGTACATAAGTCTTGTAACCAAAACTAAACGATTGCTTATTTGTTGACAGTGACAACACTAACAATTATGGTACCTCCCTAAAGGCTTTTAATCAAAGCCCTAAAACTGTGACTGTTCTTATATTAAATAAAAATCTATGTGAGTGCTAAACACTGAAGTACAATGCTTAAGAATTACCCTGCAAAATTGCACCAACATAAGCTTTCAATATTTACAGTCTCTAAAAGTGACAAACACAGCATGCTAGGCCTAGCTATTGACTCTCCCCATCTCTACTTAATCCAGGCCCAACAACCAAAAAATATTTCTCAACCCACATTAAGTTTAGATTGATCAGATATATTATGATGTTTAAATATTCGATCCATGCATAAAAACGAAAAACAGTATCTTTGACAGACAAGCGTTTGTATTTTATCAACAGTGGTCTGCCCTGTAGAGGAGTGCACTTCCTTCTGAGCTCACTCCCAAAATGTACCGTTCACAAAACCCATGTGATTACCCGGTAGTCATGTCAACAGTGTGCTCGGAAATGGTCAGAATTGCAAGGTAGAAGCACACTGCCCACAACCATTTCATTCATATGTAAAAACGTCACTCCATTTTGGAGATATGCCTCATTTGGGGAAAAGGAAACAAACTTAAAAAAAAAAAAAAAAGACATTCAAGTAAACATCAACAACCAAATACTTGGAAAAGGTTTTTGTAAACTTGTCATTCTAAAGGGTTTTTGTTTCGCAGCTTCACTAAATCTCTTATGAAAAAGTACACCTACGTTATATCCCATTCTGTTTTGTATAAAAGCACACCATAAAATACAAGTTCTTCTGATAAAGTGATCTCTCTCTTCCAGCACACCTTGTGGATGTTTTTTTGTTCAGTGTATCAATCCCCTTCATAAATCAATCATTTATATCTCTATAGAGATAAAAATGGACAGTGTCCATTGGACAAAAAGAAAAGCCAACTGTTAGTTACATCCGTAGAAGAGTTTCACAGCAAATATCTATAGCGGGCCAGCTGGAATCCACAGGACTTTATTTTGTTCTTGATCAACAGTTGTCATAATCTGAGTGCAAATGCTTGAAAGGGCTCCTCCCTGGACAATACCTACAAAAATAAAGAACACCTCAATCACACACATCAGGCACTGGAAAAAGCAATTCTTAGCCAGGTATTTTCCTACATAGTATTTATCAACAGACCGTGCATAAATTAACCACTTGGATAACTGGCAGATACATGAATGTGGGTAAAACAATAACAATGATAAACAGAGCAGAGAGGTTAAGTATTTAATATGCAGACGCTCCTGCTAATCCTTAAAATGACAAAGGAAGGCAGTCAGAGCCCTGGCTATAATCAACTAAGACAACTGTTTTGTTACTGAGTCCTTTGCTTGCTATTTTCAGAGGCAGGTAGCAGAATTTGTTCATTACCCCTAAAGCTGGCCAGAACCCCGTTATATAATAATAAACCCACACTGTTGAGCAAGGGGTGTTCAAGGTTTAATATTTATATAGTAATAGAAACTATAGCTGTAGCAACTAGGTGCTGTTTACAAATATTTAAAATTAATTGTATAGGGCTGAGCTAAATAAAAACCACCGTTGCTGCCACCACAAACTTATTGAGAGAACTATGTTGGGTTGTTTGTTTGGGTTTTTTTGGGGGTGGGGAGGGGAAGAGGAGAAGCAAATAGCCATAAATACACCGTGCACAGTGTTCGTAGGCATGCCAAACTCAGCGAGGGCGGAATGCCAAGCAGAACATGTTCAAAAGGCAAGGGCCTTCTTGTTGAGAAATCCGTCCTGGAGAGCGCAGTCTCAAGAACTAACAGCCAGAGTTTTGCATCATGGTGCTACCCACTAAAATAAACTTTGCCCAGGACTCTCAAGCCATGCAAAATAACTAGAGCAGGCAGTTAGGAACAGGAAATGGGACTTAACCATAATAATAATAATCCCAAAGCTTGGGCCTTTCCTGTATTGACATTATTCTTAATGTCCTGCCTGCTGGTCCTTGCTCTAGCAATTGTTCAGCTGCAACATCAGTAGTGTGTGTGTATGGGGGGGGGAAATCAGTGTAGACAAGGGAGAGCAGGCCATGGGAGCTTTAAAACATTAAAGAGTGACTTACATGTCTTAATAGTTGTGCCTGAAAAAGCCTCTGTGACCACAGCTAACGCTAGTCTAGAGTAATAGGAAAAAATAGCAAGAGGCAGACATTTTTTCCTCTTCTGAACTTAGAATTGAATACCACTTAAACAAAAATGTATTCTAATTGATGCAGCACACTGTGCCGTACCAACACCATGAGAATTTGGAAGTAGAATGCACTGACTCAAAAAATGACAGGTCTGTACATGGCAAAAGGGCATTTAAAACGCAATACAGATCAAACCAAGTGTGCAGTCTCTGAACTAAAGATGGCCTGAATGGGCTATTAGCCAAAAAAAAGTTGGTTACTGAAGCAGCCCCAGGGTTCAGACCTTTAGGTATTCACACCAGGGAGAAGAAGCTATTGTGTGCAAAATTACATATCGCTCTATGCTTAAACTAAACACTTTTCTCAGAACACTGCCATGTCAGTTAAGCACTGAATCTTAGCTTGGGAATGTTTAGTATGTCAAAAGTATAATTCAGTTTTAACACAGCTGTTTTGGTTCTGTCTCAGTAGCATCTAGGAGCATCAAATTGGGGCACCCAAACTGCTAGGCACCGTACAAATCCATGCCTCAAAGAACTTACATTTTAAGGCCTCATCATGCAATGAGTCTCTGGTCACACATGGTTTGTTACAGGATTGGGCCTCAATTAAGAAAATATGCAACAAGTGGGTGCAACACCCACACACAAGGAGCAGAGGATAGCATGTGTTTAGTTATGTGCACATTTACAAGGTTCATGGTCACTTCTTTGAAAATGGAGTACTTCTCTTATGTAATAAGCTGGAAAACTGCCATTGTTAATTATTTGTGACTTTTCTCAACATGCAATAGTAATACCTTCTTATGGAGAGACAGATCCGTCCCTAAAGATACTGTATATTGTGTGTGTGTATGTAAAGCCACTTCTGTAAAAAAATCGCAGTAGAATTTCTTCTAAATTAAAAGAAACATTAAGGACTACAGCTCTACATAAAGGCTAGGAATTATTATTATTATAAGCACTTCATGCTTTTGTGTAATGTTGGGGCCATTCGCTTCTATGGTACTGAGATTTCAGCCTGACTGTTATGAGTTTATGCAGAAGAGTTTGGTGCACTGAAACGAGCTGAAGTATCCTTTAAGTACTGAAGCACTGTCTCGGGTAAAATATGTTAGAAAACATTCCTCATATGTTCAGGGGCTCATATTATGAACTATGCCATTAAAACAGACCTCTGATATGATTATGTATAATGGTTCCATTCCAACGACAGTGTACCCGCCTTCTTAAACCCCACTGTAACATGTTATATCAATATGTATTATCCCAAAGCCATTAAATCCCATTATAGCTTTCTTACATTAGGGCGGTGGGGAGCAGTGGTGTGGGGCAGTTAGGGAGAAGAGGTGGTTGGATGGGGTAAGGGTCCATGGGGGGCAGTCAGTAAGGAAGAGGGAGCGGCGGAGGGCAGTTAGGGGTGGGGGGTCCAGAGGTGGTCAGGGGACAGAGAGCAGGAAGAGTGGATGGGGCAGAGGTCCGGGGGGGAGGGGTGGGTCAGGGGGCGAGAAGCAGGGGGGAGGGTCAGATAGGTGGCGGGAACTGGGCCAATACATCATACTATAGCAGGAATAAAAAAATCAATGCATGTTGTAATGTTATGGCAACAGTCACATCATTCCCATCAATAACACTTACACTTCATGTAGTTTCACCATAATGCTCCCAATACTGGGTCATTTGTGCCACTGTGGGTCATTTTGAGAGGTCATTATAGTACATAGAAGATACTCTAAATACTAAAACCAAACAAACTCCATGTTATAGACCAGAGGTGGGCAAACTACGGCCTGCGGGACTGTTTTGCCCGGCCCCTGAGCACCTGCCCCGGGAGGCTAGCCCCCGGCCCCGCCCCCGCAGCCTCAGCTCACTGCGCCACGGGTGCAGTGCTCTGGGCACCAGGGCTGCAAGTTCCTGGGGCAGCACAGCTGCAGAACCTGGCCTAACGCGGTGCTCTATGCTGCGCGGTGCGTGGCTGGCTCCAGCTGGGCGGTGCACCGCCAGCCACCAGTGCTCCAGGCAGCGCGGTAAGGGGGCAGGGAGTGGGGTTGGATAGAGGGCAGGGGAGTTCGGGGGATGGTCAGGGGCCGGGGGTGTGGA